GGGGGGCGTCCCCGAGGACTCCATCGGACGGAAGGGTTATGAGACGGTCGTTAGAGCAGGTATAGTAGGTGAGCGTCGCCGGGGAAGCGGTGCTGGCGCCTCCGACGGGGAAGGAACGAGGTGGAGGAGGGGGGAGGAGGGGGTCCGCGGGCTCTCCGCCGATCAGCCACGCGAGGCTGCAGCAGCGCGCTGCGCGGTGCGTGTGGCTCATGGGAGCGCGGCGGGGTCGGCTCATGGCCCGGGGCGAGCAGCGCCGCGGGGGACTCGGGCAGCAGTGGGCAGCGGCCCGACGGGCAGCCCCTCTGCCAGGCCAGGCCGGGCCAAAACATGCACACATGTGCAAAACGGGCGGCCCTCGCCCGGGCCCGGCGGCGGCAGCACGCACGGCGCGGGGGGCAGGCTCCCGCCGTCATTATTGTTATTATTATTTGCAAAAAGGGCTGCGTGACGTATTTTTCATCGGGGCACTCTTCTGGCATGACGACACGTCGCCGTCTTCGACGACGTGTGTCCGTTGGGCGAGAACAACAACAAAGTGTGCAAGCAGCAGAGAAGCGCGCCTTCCTGTGTGTATGTGTGTGTTTGTTGTGAGTAATTTTGGGGCACAGTGTGCTCCGGGCAGGAATCCTTTATTTTTATGAAATGAGAGAAAAAGTGCCCGTTTCGTGAGTGGCGCCAATCAGCGCGTGCATAATGTGGCCTTTACGCGTCCCGGGGCGGCCGTGGGTGGCCTTGAGGGGGGACGTCTTTTAAGCGTATGTATATGGGTGTGATTTATCTACTGTAGTGCCCCAGTTCTTTTTAAAGAAAATACAGGGTGGTCGTTGTGCCCCGCCCCAACAACGCGTTCTAGCCCACATGCACGATTGCGGGTGGGTTTGCCTGGTTTAGCTATGTATCATCGGCCTTATGGCTCCGTGCGAATAGGCAACCCACCCTCACCCGTGCAAGTGGGCTGGTAAACGCGTTTGCTGTGACATGCGTACTTTCACGTCCTGCCTGGTGATTTTCGGATAGCTCTCCCTGCTCTCTCTCTATCTCACACACGCGCGCCACACACACACACACACACACACACACACACACACACGGTGGGAGGAAAGGGGGGGGG